GCAGTAGATGCAGGGGTTGCTTGAATTTCAACTAATACAAGAGCGATAAGGACAATTTGTTGTTTTCTGTCTGAAACTCGTTTATCATCTAGAAATGGGTAGTGCAGCCATAGGTGCTGTTTCAGGTGGGGTGTAATCATTTTATGAACTAATGCACCTATGGTTAACTTACCCTTTCAGATATCTTCTAACTGTCGTTTGCAAAACACATGTGTTACCTGCAGTTTCACACGCGCAGCTCTGCATCCGTAACTCCGGCTGTAGCCGTGCTGTGTGAGGTCAGTTTTGATGTGAAATCCTGGACTGGGGGATTTATGCTGACCGCTGACTGGAGTCCAAGGCCTGTGTATACCATCGCACTGCTTTTTGATAGCAGCTCTGGGTGGAGAAAGATGGTTATATATGCTGTCAACAAGGGAAAGTACAATTGCACTCATCTGTTAGCTGACACACTGGTTTTAGGGGCTGCAGCCACCGTGCTTTTGGCAGTGCTGGTGAAGGAGCCTCTGAACCTACAGATCTCTTCATAATTAGAAATCAATTCACAGAGGAGAGGCTGTCATGAGGAATACTGTTCAGCCTGAAATCTAATCATGTTTGTGGCTAGCTACTGGCTTGTATTTCCAAGCATTGCATCCCTTGTCTGTGAACAAAAATTGAAACTAATAAATAAATTAATAAAGTTTTAAAATCCTATATGTAAAAAGAAAAAGAGAAAGGGAGAGAGAGAGGCTTTCAAGGTCTGTGTCTTGCTGTTTGTGCTCTTTTGGTGTTCTGCAAAATAAAAGGATGCCAGGAAAAAGGTGTTACAGTGGAACAGATGGGTATGCGGTTGCCCATGACAGAGGAGGAGTGTAACCCTCGGGTGTGTGTTGTCCCCTGTGCTGATGGTGGGGAGGGAGATTGCACGTATGGGGAGCTTCTGATTTTGTAGGCTATCCTATCGGATATAAATTAAATGTATTCAGACCCGAGCAGTTTTAGGTGTTGTTTCCTTGTAAAGCTCTGGAAGAAACGGGGGACACCTAGTTTGTGAGAGCCGTGCGTGGCGGGGAGGACGGGTGATGTACCTCCTATGGCAGGGAAATAAAGGGGCTGGGGCGCAGGTCCCCGCAGCCCTCACACAAACCTAACTGCATCCTCTAGACATGACTCTCGGGGAAAACTAACCAGTCGAACTGTCTGATGAGGCCAGGTGTTTGCAGAAAATAATTTTTAGAGGGATACGCGTCTAAACGCTGATGAAGCTTTCCTCGGCCATTAAACATAATGTATTACTCAGGACTGAGCTATTCCCTCAGCCCTAATGCTCTTTCCCAATTAGCCCGTGATGTCACGTTTTCCACTCTCTTCGTACCACTTTGTGGATTTCCTGAATATTAAGTGCCATGAGAAGTGAGCGAGTGGGAGATTGCGGTGACTTAATTCCCCTCCTCGGACACCCTGCAGCCGTGGGAAGGGCAGGGGCCGCGGGGGTGATGTTCCCGCAATGGCATGAGGGTCCCCCCCGCTTGCCCCTGCCCCTGGGGACGGGGAGGCCGGCGGCGGGCAGAGCCCCGCACGGCCCGGGGACCCCCTGGCCGGGGCGGGCTCCGGGCACCGGCTCCCCCCGCTTGCCGCTTCGCCTCGGCGGTAGGCACGGGGCGGGGGGGGGCCCTTTTTTTTAGTTTTGTTTTTTTTTTTTTTTTAAAAGGGCATGTTGGAAAAGCAGAGAAGTGTTTGGGGTTAGAACGCATCGAGAGCTTGGCTACAAAAGCACTTCTTCATTAACCCGGCTAAACACCGCTGCGGGGTTGGGGGGTGCGCGGCTTGTGGGACCAGCGCTGCGGGGGGGCGGGGGGGGGGCACGGCCGGCCTCCCCCTGGCCCGGCAGAGCGGGGGTACGGACCGGGCACCGGGGACCCTCCCGCTCCTGGGAACGGGGAGATTCCGATGGGAGAGCTCGGAGCCCTTGCGAGGAGCCCGGCGGCGGTTCGGGGAGGGGAGCGGGGGGCGGGCGCCGCTCCCCGGCTGCAGCCCTCCGCCCCGGGGGCCGGGATCGCTCCGGCGAGGCTCGCAAGCGATCGTCTGCTGCCCTTTTCGTGCAAAAATGTTTTCCCCGTCGGGATGTTTCCTGAGGGATGCAGGAGGCAAAGAGTTTGGGTTATTTTTCGCGTTACGGTCGTTCGAGTGAGGAGAATGTTGTGAGGACTTAACGGAGGGGCCGGTTACGTGCAAAATTCAGCGAAACTCTTCTTCCCGACAAAACGGTGATTAATCAGCGAAGCAAAAGTACTCCTACCCGCCGTGAAGAATTTTAAGCCGCTGGGTGAACTTGTTTCCTTCCTCACAGCAAAATTTTCACTAATTGAACTGTCATCCTTTTCTGAGTTGCCCAGCCAAAATAGTCATCTATCGAGATAGCTGAAGTGTAAGAGTCAGCAAAGGGAGCCTTTAAAAATGCGTTCCACTTTTAGATAAAATGAAGATTAGAAGAGCCTCTGAATGACATAGATGTATTGATAGTTTCTGAAACTAGTTACGTACATTTGTATTAAATTGTTGTAAAATAGGTAACTCTAGAAACAGTCTATGTTTCCACCAGTGACATAAAGTCTGTCCCTGGTGCAAGCAAAAAAAAAAAAAGCCCACTCAGTAATGAGGAGCATTTTTGCAAGAGAAAGATTATTCCCTTCTAGTGGCTGGGACAAAAAGTCTATAAAATTTGGGGCCTGCAGCTTGTTCACCCGGTTCCTCCCTAAAGCCCCACGTATTTTGCAGAACTTCCACTCTGAAATGATGCCGTTTATAAAAAAGCGGTTGTGCGAATCGCTCAGGACTGTATCTACCGGACAGAGTGATGCAAAATAAGAGTGCGGGTTTAGGTGCTCTGTAAGAAGCAAATTAGACAATTAGACAATTTCAGGCACTGTAAGAGTCACAATTTAAACAAACAAAAAAATTTGACTGATGTACTTTTGGCTATAGGATTTCCTTTGCAACGATTTTAAATTATTGACTCGGGCTGCAGCCGGCTGGTGAAGTTCGTCCTTCCTCTCTTACAGTGCAGCATCAAAATCCTACAATAGGAGCGTTTTCCATAAACGTTAATTTAATTTTTTTTAATGAACTTCGGGGCTGTAGGCCTGCTCCCAGGATGGGTTTCTGTTGCGTGATCCTCAGGCCGGCCGTGCCTGCCTGGCTGCGGCTGCTCACATAAGCAGCCTCGGGGCAGATATTTCACAAAGTACATTAAACCTTAAATTATCAGTATGCTGGGAAATGATACCAGGTCTGCGCTGCGCTGAACCTAACCTGCTCAGAGATGGGGATGGGTGTGTGTGTGTAAATACTTACAGTTATTCACGAGGTTTGTTTTATTTTACAGAAGAAAAAATAATCAAGGTGTGTGTGGGGAGGTTGGTAATTTATGTTATGCGCGCTATTTGTTTATGAGTGTGCAAATCTCAGAGGTGAGGCTGTTTAAACAATCCGATGTGGATTTGTCTGCTCTCTTGAATGTGGCCCAAATTTTTCTCACTTTACTCATAATTATTCTCCTTGTTATTTATTACAATAGCTCCAAAGGCCTCTTTTGCCTCGGCCGCTAGAAATCGGTACCTTGGCATGAAAATACCTTGTGATCTAAATAGAGAAGATGGACAAAAGATGGGCGGACAAAAAGGCGTGTCAGGAACCTGGGAGGGGTTTTGTTCTGATTTTTGGGGGCCCGGTTAACCTCGCTAAGGGCTCCCCGGAGCGCTGGGCAGGTGTGCATAAGGGTCGCTGCTGCCCAGGAGATTTCCAGGAGGGAACGGGAGGTGCGGGGCAGGGACGGGGGCGGCCGGTCCGGCCCCGGGGCCGCGCAGCATCTCGGTGGGCTCAGCGGGGCCGGTCCCTGCCGCTGCCCCCCGCCCGTGTCCGCAGAGACCGGGGAAGGGGGGACACACCGCCGGCACCCCAGGATGACCGCTGCTTCGGCGTGTTTCACGAACTCGTTGGTGGTCCAGACACTAAGGGTGATGCCTGAAGAAATGACAGCTCTCTAAAAGCGGTCGGGGCAGCGGGAGGGCCGGAGAGGGCTAATAAGTTGGTTTGCAGCTCGTCAGTGTTTCACAGAGCAAGGGGCGTAATTTTAAAGTGAAGAAACGTGGAGAAAACAGAAAAATCCGCGCGGAACTGCTCCGTACAAGTGGCAGTAAACATATGGAACAGGTTATCTGGGAAGGCAGGGGCAGTACGGAGCATAAATTAATTCAAGAAACACCTCGTTTGCGTCGAATGCAATGGCTGAGTTGTACGATGAAACGACAGGACAGTGGGATTTAAATAACGCCAACAAGAGCGAGCAGCTCGGCCTCGAGTTCTCCACAGGTCCTTAAACGCGTCCACGCGTCCCTTCCTTCACGATCGCATTAAAAAGACAGGCCCGGGCGTCCCGATCCCCCGAGGGTCCCCGCAGCCGGCACCTCTGCGTCTCCCGCCGGGTGCGAAGGCCACCCGCGAGGTTGCTGGCTGCCTTTGCGGGCAGCGCCGGCTGCGGGGCTCCCCACGCGTGTTGCGCGGCGGGGACCGCGGCGCGAAGCCCGGCGAGAAGCGCTGGAGCCGGGACAGCGCGGGGGAGCCCCGCGGGGAGCGGGCCGGACCCCCGGTCTCCGACGGCGGCGGAGTGCTGCTTAAGCCGCGGATGGGACACGTCCCCCCGTGGGCTGCGCTCACGGAAGGCATCCGCGGGTGACCCCCGTGGCGGTCCCGTCCCGCGGGACCGGGCGAGATCCCGCCGGCTGCTCCGCACGGCCCCGCGCATCCCCCGCAGACCCCCTCGCCAGCCCCGCGGCAGCCGGCAGCGGCCGAAAGAACGTGCCGAAATCCCTTTTTTTTTTGGGGGGTGCTGCGGGGGGAAGAGTCGAAAACTATAGAGACGGAGGCTGAGCTGCCCTTGCCCCGGGGATGAGCCCGACGCCCGTCCCTCTGCGTGGGCCAGCTCCGGCGCGGAGGCAGCTGCTGGGCTGAGCCGGGGGATGGATACCTCCCGTGGGATGGATCCCTGCCGTGGAAATCACCAACGCGCGGTCCCGCGTGGCCGGTGCCGCTCCCGCCCTGGGGAGGGGGCCGAGCCCAGCCAAAAACCCTCCCCCGGCCGTCGTCAGCTCTCCCTGCCGCGGGCACCCCGCCGGCCGGGCTGCCGGGGCTTCGCCAAAATTCTCCCCCCTCGAATCCGTTGGTGCCGACATTTTCCGCCGGGGATTACGGGCGCTGGGAGTCTCGCACGTAAACCTTGCACGAAGTACGTCAGTAACGAGAAGGGCTCGCTCATTAATTATCTGCTGCCTTGCCTGACACGGGCTAAAGGGGAATTAAACGAATCCCGCTGCACCGAGCGAAATGTTCGTGAAAAGGCTGTAAAAGTCAAGGAAAACGGTCCGCTTCGCGCTGTGTTCTGCTTCCTTCCCCGACCAGCTCCCTTCAGTCGGTTCCAGNGATGGGGCCCAGGCCCGGAGGGAGCCCGGAGCCGAGGCCGTCGGGCCGGGCCCCCTCGACGGG